ATACACTAAGATATACAATTCAACACAATTTCCTTTCTTGGACATCTAACTCACACTTGGAAGGTACCCTAACTTGATTCAACACAATTTCTCTTATAGAAATTTTCTTCGTTGCGGATCTTTTCTTGTAATTTGCTTACTTTCCTAAATGGCCTACATAACTCCTTGACGCCTGAAGCAAACAACTCTGACGCCTCATGCACAGAAAGTTACCTACTTCTTGGATTAGTTTAATGCAAAATTTTGAACTCAGGAACTTGGACCAGTTTCTCTACATATAAAAATTGTCAGGAAGAAATCTCCCGTTGTTTTCCACCAGAAACATTCTATTCTACTGAGAACCTAACGTCTTCAGAGTAAACCTGATTTGATTGAGTCTATTACAAGTAACAACCCATCGTATAAAATTCTGTAGATCATTCCTTTGAATATCATTTTAAAAAGTTGAGAAAATATGCTCTTTAAAACTAAGGGTGTGTTTGGTTAGAGGGTCTTGTAATAGCAAATGTAGTTGTACCATTGTTTTAAATATCCCCGACATGGCCCGATATATCCTTTTACAGGGCTTGCCGCAACCGATATGGTCTTCAAATATCCTTTACCGCTTTTTGGCTATTTTGAGTGATAAATCCCCGATATGGCCGATATATTAGCCGATATGTGGACCAATATATTTTTTTATATAGCTTGTTGCAAAATAATATACCGTGTTTGGAATTTTTGGGCAAGATATCAAGATTTCCCCATTATACAAATGACATTTTGCCCTAAAAAAGCAGATCGAATGTTGCAACGTTGCTTTGCACTTTTGTTTGTTTTAGAAGGTTGATTAGTGATCCTAAACATATATTATTCATATTTTGTATGCTTAAATTTCATTACATATGTTGAGATTACATTTTAATGCATTCTACTATGTATGCAAACATTCATTATGGCATTCCGATATATACCACATATCTCCAATATTTCCTCGATATCCGCAATCCGATATGAATTTTGGTCATCCGATATTTCCCCGATATCCGATATTTAAAACATTGAGTTGTACCCGCAAGTAGTGGCAACTTAAGTTGTTGTACTTACAAATAGCTGCAACACTCTAAATTTTGAGTGTGAATGCAACATCCTCATTTTTAGCCATGATGTTGCAACTACATTTGTAGTTCCAGCACCCTCTAACTAAACACGCCCTAAGGTTCCAAAGCTTGCACTTCCCAAGACTTCAACTAGGTATATAGCACATGCTTGGATCTAGACATTAATGGTTCTAGACGTTTTATCATAAACCACTTCAAGGGCTTCAGCATTAGGTCGAAAGGTCTGTGCTAAGTAGGGGTGTGACAGATAATACTATTCTGAAATCATAGTGCTGAAAGCATAGAAGACATGGGAATTGTCAAATGAAACTTACTGTATGGTGGGAGCTCAAAAGAAACCACTGTCACTAGTATGAGAAATGACTTCATGACAAAAGAAGATTAGTAGATGGTAGAAAAGATAATAAAAAGAAGTGTTTCTTTGGTTGAATGGGATTGTCTTGGTAAAAGTTCTCAAAATAGAGATAATTACAACAAATAGAAGTACAGATATGGTCTAGCTTGGTAAGTTAATTTCCTACAACTTCTGGACCATATTTCTATATATGTTTAAATAAACAAAATAAAATTCACAGCTAGCTAATCACATCGAACACATGTATATATAGAACTATAGAGCGAATCAATATTGTTGAATTTTGAAAGCATGATGAGAACAGTTTCTCAAGTAATCAAGACAAACAACTGGCTTTCATTTATACAATTTTAAAGTCGAGAAACAATTCAACTTAGAAATATAGTTAGAAGAGTAAAATGAAAGAAGTGATCCAAAGCGAAGGAATCTAAAACAAATAGCGAAAAACAAGATATTACGTAAATAAAACAACCTCGAAGACAGATGGACTGGAGCTCACAATTAGCTAAACTACACCAAATACAGGGTTCGCCAAGCAAGGCAAATTCAGCCAACTGCAAATTATTAGACATGAGTAACACCCCTGAAAATTTTGCCACTTAACACTGAAAAATAGGAACACAGATTGTTCTCATGATCAGTGAAAGATTCGAAATTGACACATTTATGACTACTAGAGAAGAGCAAGCAAGAAAGAAAATAGTGATAAAATATTCCAACATCAACAATAGACAGTGTGACTAATCAAGAAAGAAAATATTCCAACATCAACAATAGACAGTGTGACTAATCAATACCCATTGGTACTAAGACTGGAAAATGACAAATCAGTCCAGAAATGTTACAAATAACCAGAATTCTTTGAATTGCTAAGAACTGTTTAAAGAACTATCTGAATAATAATAAAATTCCTGAATGATTGAATTGGATTACGATCACAACAAAAGGAAAAAAATTGAATGGAACTCCATTGTAACTAGATAACAATCTGGCTTAATCAAATACAATAAATAAATCTCAATCTCCAAGTACACCATAAACATGAAAATTTATGATATACCTGGTTCTAAAACAATGCTGAACTAACAATCATTACAATTCTCCATCAAATCTAAAGCATTCATTGTACCCATCCATTCCTCTTTAGGAACAAACCACTAATTGGGAGATTGCACTGCTCTCGCCCACTTAAAATCATCCACATTGGCCAATTCCCCATATACCCTTCAAGCTTAGCTCGAACCCCTCACTTCTTCATCAATCCCTTCATTTTAAAAAACCCGATAAGGACCAAAACTCACACCAGTACAATATTCAATAATAAGGATCTCACCTCTCTTCACATCTATGGCAAGTATTCGTATTGCCCCCTAAAACCCCGGGAAACTAATGAATAAAGACAAAACCCAAACTTTGCCATAAGAACAACAAAATATTATCAAAAAGTAAAAGAAAAAATGGAACAGATCTTAATCGTTCCAACAGGTTCACACTCCACATTCTTCGACTAAAATCATCTTCCTGACGAAATACTCTGATCAATTAGTACCCCTATATTTTTATTGATGACCTCATCTAGAAAATATCTCTTCACCTCAACTAGCTCCTCATCACCCTTCCTCTTCTCTCTTATCTCCATCTTCCTCTTCACCTAGATCCTAACGAAAACTCTTCTATTAGATTCTCCAATCTCCTCTCTCTTTACTTTCTTCATTTTAACAAATTAATACAAAGTGCAATTGAGCTTTTCAAGAAATCCTTGGCCTACCCGTTACAAAATTGCTCACTGGATCCAATGTGATTTTTGAAAATTAAAGTGATCGTGACTGGAAAAAGGACGGTTTCAGAAGAATTCAAACTGTTCCAGAAAAATTGATGAGAGTGATAATATGGGTCAGGTCTATATACGTTATTAGGTATATAATTTCAAACCCTTAAATATGTCACTTCCTTTTTCTACTAGTTTCAGTTGCAAGTGCACTATAAGAAGAAATATTATAATATTTAATTGCCTCTTCACCTCAACTAACATGTCATGACTCTTCCTCTTCTCCTCTCTACTCTTCATCTCCCTCTTCACCTCCATCTTCCTCTTCTCTCTGTCTTCCTCTTCTTCTCTTCTCCCAAAATGATCATACGGATTGAAGCACCTGATTTTTGGCAGTTCAATGTAGTTTTATAATTAATTTGGTTCAGGTCAGGTTGAAAAACCTTCAACCCGCGTTAACCGAACCTGTCGTATGCTCCTCAAACTCTTATCGTGATACCCCTCGTTTCTATTTCTACCACGAACACAATGAGGCCCACCCATGTGGCCTATCCATTTCCTAATTAAACTCCAGCCAGCTGTTCCTAATTGAACTGCAATAATTTGGTTCGCTTCGGTTCCCTGTTTAGTTTCAGCTTCATAACAATTGTCCAAAATCAACCAAACTGAACTGTTTGCTCACTCATATTCCTTGTTAATGACGACATTAATAGTAAAAAAATTGCATAAAAAGTTCAAGAACATAATATTATCTACAAGTTAAAGTTAGCTCATTAAATAATAAAGTTATTGCCATTTTCAGTTCAAAGGGCTAGCTATTCAATTAAGTATTCATGATTTAGAGTTCCCATAAGCAATCAAATATTATAATATTCCTTCTTATAGTGTACTAGCAATTGAAACTAGTAGAAGAAGGAAGTGATAGATTTGAGGGTCTAAAGTTGTCGACCTGATACCATTTTCGGATCAAACCAAAAACATCAGTCTTTGCCGTCAGTCACTTCAATCTTCCAAGACTACACTAAATTTTGTGAGTGGTTCACTGCCTATGCAATATATTCATGAATGTTAAATCAATTACACTTGTGTACATTTTGAACATGCATGTTCAATTTCACATATAACTAGATCTTTCTAGTCTATTATTAGCAATTACTTGTACGTAGAAGAATTTCTAAGTTCCCGATCAACAACAGCATGCATAGGCATTGAAGAACTAGCGCATAATGATCATAAATTACTACAAGCTAAGTAAGAAATATGCTGCTAATGAGTAATGACGCCATCCACAGTCAAATTATTTGACATTTTACTTTCAATCTGAAACAATTATTAAGTTTAACATCTAATAAGTTTCTAAAGAGTTTAAAATAGTAAAAATATAAATTAAATATAAGTTAATAAATATACGAGTATATTATAGGTAGAAAAGGGGAAATTTTTAAAAATTAAAGAAAAAATGTGAGCCAACTAGTGACCCGAACCGTCCGTTCACGGGTCAAATCTAGCCCAGTTCATTGCGGGCCGTAGGGCAGGTTGGGTCTAGCCCCAGACTAGGGGGAAAAGCATCAAGCCTAGCTAGCCAACGCTCAACGTGGACCGTGTCTGAACTAGCCTGGCTAGAGAAACGGGCAGCCTGGTTCATAGGTTGCCCGACCCGGCGCACACTCACCCCTATATTTGATCCCCAATTAAACATTATTTGCGGCATTTAACCAAGATTTAACTGAAGTATTTCACCCATTAATCTACTGAAATATTCCTAAATTTAGCAATTCTTGTGAGCATACCATATCTATACAATTTGACTTTCCATGCTTTCATAGAATGGTAATAGAAAATAGAGGGTTGGCAGATAGTTGTAAATTTTAGTTCATTTTTTTTCCGATTGCTTCTGAATTTTGAAATTAGTCCACCATTGAAATTGCTATTAGCTTGCCAATTTTTCTTGTATCTTAATGCTGCTTTTAATTGGACGCATTAATTGAGACAATTTATAAGGAGCAAAAAAATAGATCAAAGATTTTTAATTTTTAAACTTAGTGGACAAGTAGGTTTATGGGAAAAACTGAATATAGATGAGAGGAGTTTAATCTAATTTACAATGAAGGAGAAGAATACACGAGTTCCACTATGAATTTCAAATAGGCTAAAAGGCTATTTTGGTCTTTGTACTAGAGCTTTATAATCAAACTGGATGTAAGCTTACACCTATTTTAACTCTTTGTTAAATGTTCCATCGAATATATTTACTAATTTAACGAAAGTAATATGAGTGCTGACTGAGATAGTATGTCCATCCAACTCATGAGCATATGAATCGTTTGAGAGAAAAACTAACTCTATGATGGAAGCATGAAAGAGGAATAGAGCAAAGGTCCGATGAACTCTAAGCAAACCATAATGAAACCCTGAGTAGCTGAAACAACCAAACAAACAAAGTCAAATGTGAGAATCCTGACACGTGCTTCGTCTTATTAGCTGAAACAACCAACCAAAAGAACATTCAAAATTCACACATTTATGACTAGAAGATGCACGGCAAGCATGAGACACGAACACTGACAAAATATTCCAGCATCAACAATAAGACGGCATGCCTAAAAAATACTAATTGGTTGTAAGACTACCAAAAATGACAAATCGGTTGTTAAATGTTACAAAGATAATTATTGACCTTTGAATTTCTATAAATTGCTCAAAATCATTTGAAGAACTGTGCTAACAACAGAAGGCTTGGCAAAAGAAAACTTGAATGGAATTCCATAGAAACTAGATAACGACCTGGCATATACAATGCAATATTTCAAACATAAAACACACTCATGTCATCACGAAGCACAATCCTCAAAACTCATCAAAGGTGAATTACTTGAAACACTGTATTGCATACCTGGTCCTAAAAACAATGCTGAACTAACAATCATCAAAATTCTCCTCCAGTTCCGAAGCATTCACCGTATCTACCCATTCTTCTTCAGGAATCAAACACCAATTCGGGGATTGCACTGCTCTCAGCCACTTAAAATCATCCACATTGCCCCAGTTCCCCGTCTCCTCATCAAGCCTCGACTCCCTCAACTCGTCATCAACCCCTTCATAGGAAAACCGATAAGGACCAAATCTGACCCCACCACAATCTTCAATAATCGGCCGGCTCCGAACCCTAAGATAAAAATCAGTCTCCTTCGCTTGATGAATCCTGATCTGATGAGAAGCCAGCACAAACAAACATCCTCTCACTTCTTCGATCAAGATCGATCCGAGCACCGGCCCACAAAACACCCTACAGTTCGTAAGCCTATTAATAAACAATGCCCTAATTCTCCCCTTTATGTAAACTTCACATGAATCAAGATCGGACAACGTGAACTCCCCATTTCCTTCGTCCAAAACCCTAAAATTCTTAACCAAAACTGCACCTTTCTTGCTCCTAATCCCCGGCGAACTCTTAATCTCTTTTGTCGGAAGATTCGCGTCGGATTGGGGTTTTTCTTCGCTCTGTTTGAATAATTCCGCGGGGTCTTTCCTTAGCGCCGATTTATTTTTGAAAGAGAACTTCTTTCTGGGGATTAATTCGGAGCTGGCTTTTTCTAGGGCTCCTTTGAGATCGGAAATCGATTTGAGAGAGGACCGGAGCTCGTAAGAGGGGAGAAAGTAAGAGTTTTGGGCGAGGACCCGCTCGAGATCCGAGATTGAAGTAGATATTTTGTCGAGGTCCGGTTTGGCGACAGCGGGATCGGGTTTGGAGTCGGAGGAGAGAAGGCGGGTGAGATCCGATTCGATGGAGAGCTTGGTGGAGGAGAAGAGGGAGAGGAAGGACGAGAGGGAACCGGGTTCGGGTTTGGACTGGTTGCGGGTTGAGGAGCGGGTTTGGTGGAGGTTGGCGAGGCGGTCGAGCATGGCGAGGTGCTTTTTGTGGGTTTGGGCGTCGGGCTCCGTTTCCGATGTGGGATTTTTGTCTTCCATCGGGGAGGGTTGATGAGAGGAGAGAGGGGGCAGAGGAGTGGAGAGACCGAGAGAGAGAGAGAGAGAGAGGAGGGAGCGGATGTGCGATGATGGTCTCTGGGTACAAATTAAACTAGGTTTTCTCGATATCAGCCGTTTAATAAATTAAAATTAGTTATTAGTCCATCTTCGTCACTTTGAAAGGCCAAATATCTAGTAAGGTCTTATCCATCATCCGCTGCTTGGAAACTCCCCTTCGCTTCTCACGTTTTCCAATAGTTTATATCACTCTAACAATAATATTTAAAAAAACCTCTTCATATATTAGTGTTGAGTATTATAGTGTTAAAGTTATTTTTTAATAATTATTTTACCAATAATAAATTTCAAACTTCAAAACAATCTTAACAAAAATATACCAAGAATATATGATATTAGTTAAAAAATTTGTTATATTTTATATAATTATATCTAATAAAATCTGAAAATAATAGGTAAATCAAATATATTAAAAATTTTAACTGGTACACATCAAATTTGGAAATCATCAGTAGATCACTAAAAATTTAAATTTTTCAAAAAACAATCCAAAATTTTAGTAATTGTAAAAATACTTTACCTTCAAAATTTCAGAGTTACAAGAAACATTCTAACATTTGAAAACTTACCACCAACACATGAAACATAAAAATTATAAGCATCCAACTTAAATTTAAAATTTTCATAAAATACTATCAAAGTTTAATAATTACAAGACACACCCTTAAAATTTTGAAATCATAAAAATGCTGAAATTTGGCAAAGAAAAGAGGAAATGTTTGATATTATTACATTAAGATATATAAATTTAACTTTCAAGTTAAATTTTATCATCTCTTTTCAGCATCTAAAAGTAGTCTAAGTTGATGCCCAAAAAAAATAACAATTATAGTAGATTAAAACTATCCAGTTGAGGAATAATAATTTAAAAATATATGATAGATTAAAAATTAATGTCACTGTATAAATTCAAGGAACCACATATAATTTTACTAATAACATTCATTGATATAAGACAAATTAATAAAAGACTGTAATATAATAGGTTAGCATTAATTGATTATAATGTATAAATATTTATCTCTAATATTGATAATATTTATAGGGTTAAAAAATACAATGAGTTATGTATGGAGAAACTATCATAAAGTTAAGAGAGATCCATTAAAAGAACTAAGTTGTTTTTATTTTAAATGGAGAAGTGAAGGAAACAAACTCAAAATTCGAAAACATCCATGAATCACCCGAATTGATATTGATAAAAGGCATATCTAGCAAAGAAGCACTGACCGAGTTCCTCTTGAAGAACATATTGAACAATTTTGTCCTGATTAAAAAGCATTCTTCATGAAAGATACAAGAAAAATCAGTAAATACTTATAAATTTCATATTTTATTCTTGCAATACTAAAGGAATCATAAATTTAATATAAAAACATATATAAAACTTAATATAAAATTACATATAAATAATCTTGCAATAGAAACTAAAATAAAGACGTTGATCAACTATATTGCGAGATATAATAAGCTAGATAAGATGCGGAAAATTACTATAATGGACAAAAAGTATTCGCATGATACTTAGTTACCATAAAAATTAAAATTGATATTTTTTCCTATATAGTGGCACGACTCTGCAAATAACCTTATTTGGGGATATGACTACCAACAAAGGATTGACTTTTAAGGACACGATAAAAAGTAAGCATGTAATAGTACTATCAGATTTTAAGATATTTAAATATAAAAGTAACATATTTTACAACTAAAATTCTTATTTTTTGGTCAATAAAAAAAATTATTCATTCACCAAATATGAAAATTTTATATACATCACGATGCTCAGCTTTTAACACAAACTAAGAAGTCAAACATTGCTATAAAGAGGAAACTAAGCCTCAAGATATAGTGGGTAAACAATCCATGTTAGCACTAAATTCTTATTAAATGCCACTAAACATAAAATTCACATTATATTCAAATTTGTAGGGAAGATATACATGTCATCGTAAATTGTGTTAATAATATATATCAATCCAAAGATACAACTTATTAAAGAGATAAGAGAATGATAAGTAAACACAACAAACATCCATATAACAAGATAAAGAAAAAATATTACACTTTAAAGCTAATATACGTGGCTCATTTAGAACAAGCTGTTAAAACAAAAGCATCTCTATCAAGGCTCTTTATAAGTACAACACAAATTTAAATCATTGAATATTTTATAAAATAGCTTAATTTTTTTATTAAAATTAGGAATCTTTAGAAGGTATTTTCATGAACTATTTTAATATTTTTATATGGTTATGTGGATGCTTTTATCATATAAAAGTGTACTAGAATTAGCATTAATCTTTATTTTATGATTTTTTCTGAAGTCTACCAATGATAGTAACAAAATTTATATTCTCTTCAGTTTCATTCTAGCCCACTTTTAATTAATCATTTAGGCTTATTAGCTTTAATTATTCATCCTTTTTTTATAGGGTAATTTTCAAACATTTTTCACTTTTACAATATTATACCTTCTCAAATCAAGCTTGGTTTCATGTCGGTCCAAATAATATGAAAATTGAAAGTAGCTTTAGATTACATTTATTTCTTGTCAATTCAATTATTAACATGAAAAAAATTTAAATTTGATGTAGCTCATCCTAACAAACATTAAAGAAAATAAATAATCACAATACTAAAGTTTAGAGACATAAGTGAGCAAAAACAATCAAAGTTGAACTGAGGAACAAATTTTAGTAAAGAAATAAATAAAAAAATACTTAATTATAGTATTTAACCATGTGCATTTGTACGTGCATAAAACCTAGTATTTACCAAAATTTGAGTTTTTTCTTGGGATTATTTATAGTTACATCCCACAGTTTACCCTATTTGTAACTTTAGTATTCTTTTGCCCAATAAGTACCCCATACTTTAAATAATTTATAACTTTCATACCTCTAAAGTTTTTTCTTGCCCAAAATGAACCCAAAATTTCAATAATTTTTTTACTTTGATACCAAAAATTTAAAATTTTTCATTTTAGTATCACATCTTTAACAAAAAGTTAAAGTTTGGATATCAAAGGTAAATTTTGTTGAACTACGAGGTATTAAAGTTGTATTTTGTTTAACTATGGGGGTTTTAGCAAAAATAAATATGGGGTATCAAAACAAATTCTATTGAACATTGGAATATTTTTTGGGCAAGAACAAACTTTGGGTACCAGAGTTAGAAACGAGGAAAAGTCTGGGGTATTTAAGTGCGAATAACCTTTTCCCCCTTACAAACACTCTCCTATGGAAAAAAAATTCCACATTTTTTCCTACAAAAAAACGTCTTTGCTTTATTAAAATTGCATGCTCTTTTCTTATCAAAATAGTGAGCAAGTGAAGGGGGATTTCTAGCTTTCTGCATTGCGAATTCAAACAAGGTTGGAGAATGGTTTAGGAAGAGAAATAATAGGAATGATCTCATCTAAACAGGAAAGGACAAAAATGCCCATTTTGTTTTTCAGCCTAATTTTGTATTTCTACTATTTTTAAATTATAAAAAAGCCTAATTTTGGAGTACCGAAGCAATCCTCTTCTAAAAATATGGAAAGAATTGGGTTGTGGGGTGTGGTTGCAATTCAGTTTCACTTTTATCTTTTTTTCTAAAATTGTTCTTGATATGAATGGAGAAAGCGTGGCAAGTCCTAAGAGCGTCTCCAATGGAGCGCTAAAACTCCATTTTAGAGTGTTTTGGCGCTCCAATGGAGCGGCAAACATCCCGCTAAAAAAAGCGGGATGCTACAGTGTTGCGCCAGAAATGACGCAACACTGTAGCATTGGCGCAATTAAATTTTTTTTTTGTGAAAACTTTTTATGGAATATCTTATGAGAAGAAATACAGAAACAAACTTTTCTTTCTTTTGTTATTTATATTTGTATTAATAATATATATTATTTTATATTAACTATTATAATGAAATTAGAGTATAAAATAATTATTAAAATAAATTCAACAACGGAAAAAAATAGATAATTTAATCCAAACATTTAAAATTTCATAATACTAGAACCAAATGAAAAAATAAGAAAAACTACACCATTTAGATAAAAAATACAACATAAACATTAGGACATAAAAAAATTAGTTAAATATATTATTATAACTAATTATATGTGATGTTAAATGTAAATCTTTAGTTGAATTTGTGAAAGTAATATTTTAATTTGATTTAGCATTTAATTTTTATATTTTTATTTTATTCATAAAATATATTATTATAATTAATTATATGTAATGTATTATATAATTATATAATCTGTTAAATATTTTAAATAGATAAAAATGTTAAAAGATAAGAATAATAAAATGAATATTCTTTTTGGTGTAACATTTGGTGTAATGGGTTGGAGATGAAATAGTGATTTGGTGTAAAAACTACACCATTTTGTGTTTTTGGGTTGGAGATGCTTTAAGAACACTCTTTGGAATTTGTAGACTTTGTGACCAAAAGGGTATACCACCAAATATGTGGACCAAAAGCCTAGCTTTGTTTAATAGTAGTAACAAATAAATATTTTTTCTTGGCATTTAAATACCTATTGTTTATTTACTAAAATAGGTTTTACTACCTTCTTTTCGTTACATGTTGGAATTTCCTATTGAATTATGTAAGGGGGGTTAGTCACCTAGAACTTAAAACTAGAACTGGTATAATCTGTAGGATAAATTTTTAAGGTGTTAGTCACATAGAATTAGGAAATGGGATAATTTTTTATAGTGTTAGTCAAGTAGAACTTGTGTAGAACTAAAATTATATTATTCTTTTGATGCGTTAGTCAAGTAGAATTCTATTAGAATTAGAATTGGGATAATTTGTCATAATTATCCCACTAATTATACCACCTATATATATGGCCATCAGTTCACCGCCCTAAAATTATCCTCCCCGTCGAAAGAAAAACAATCGGCAAAAAAAAGTTCTCCGCCCAATTTCACCGCTTCCCTTCCGCCCCCCTCCCTCTGGTTAATTTCTCCGCCCTAGTAGAAATTTCTCCGCCTCTCTTCTCTCCGAGCCTCTTCCCATCCAGTGCGTCGTCTCCGCCGTGTCATCTTCTCCGACTTCACCAACTCCTCCGGCGCCGTCAACGAGATCAGGTAATATATGGTTAAACAACGATCTAGCTAGGGCATAAGTATATAACTTCAGTGCTTTGGATTTTAAATTAAGTTGATTATCAGGCCTTTAATTTGCTTGTAATTAGATCAACAAATCGATTCCTTTTTCTAATTAGATCATGGTACGCAAGCTTTTATGGTTAGGGTTTATATGAAATTAGGGATATGTTGCAATCGACAAAAAATTCAGAACGTCTTGTATATGATACGCAAGCTTTTAGGTCTCTGTATTCAAGGGCAACGATGTCATAGGCTCTTGTTGCTTCTTCTTGAGTGTCTGCAAATTTTTATCAGGAAACAATCGAATATTAGTCTCATGAGGATAAGTGTGAAATGCTTGTGATCGACAATTTTTTTTTACTTACTTTCCTCTTATGATGTAGGATGGCTTTTAAGCAGGAATTCAGCTCATGTGGGATTTTTGTTGGTCTGATATAAAAGCAAATATGAAGAACAGTCTTTGATTTATTAAAATAGGACATTTGGAAAAATATTTGGAAAATATTACATTGAATTTTCTACTCAATGTCTCGATAATGTGTTTAGCCACATATTGAAATTTGAAGATAAATTTTATCTAGTTGACTGCGGCTATCCAAATAGGCTACAATTTCTTGCTCCATACCGAGGTCAAAGGTACCATCTTTCAGAGTTCGGCCCTGCTAATAATCGACAACGACCACGAAATTCAAAAGAAGTTTTCAATCATCGACATGCGTCTCTTAGAAATTGTGTCGAGCGCATCTTTGGAGTCTTTAAGTCTAGATTCACTATTTTCAAGAGCCAACCTCCAGGTTTTCCGTATGCCACACAAATAAAGATGTTCGTTGCATGTGTAGGATTGCATAACTTTTTAAGATTGGAGAATACAAATGATGACTTCGATATTTATGATCTTCCACTAGAAGCTCCACGAAATGTTGCTGATGTAGATGATGATTCCGATGAAGAAGATGAGTTACAGACTCAACAGACTCAACGAGCAGCTGCGGGAGCTTGGAGAAATTCTATGGCAGATGCCATGTGGGATGATGGAAGTCGAGTCACTCTAGGAATTTAGATTTTTATTTAGTTGTAAAATATTTTATTATTTGAGATGAATAGTAATGTTTTATTGCATTATATTTTATAGTTATTACTAGACTAATCAATTGCTTATCAATCTTATATTATTTTTAATATACAAATATTAACAATAATAATTTATACTCACTGTTACCCCCACCAAATTATCCCCTTCATAATATTATCCACCATTATCCCACCAAATTATCCTACCAAATTATCCAACTTTAAGAATTATCCATCATTGTTCTACTAAATTATCCCAGTGTTAAAAAATTATCTCACTTTACCAATTATCCCAGTTCTACTTAAAAAGTTCTAGGTGACTAACCCCCCCTAAGATTCTCATAACATTTCCATGTGACTTGCACATGATAAAATTTAATTAATTATATCCTTAAATTGAATCAGCGTATAAACTAATTTTTGCGCACACTCTGAATGAGACGAAATAAGGTTGAAGATGTGATTTTTAGTTGAAACTACACAAATTTATGGGTATAATTGGTCAGCTCCTATCAATTCTAAGTAATTTCAACGTTTAGTGAAAAATATTCCAATCTTTAATTAACAGAAGATGATAATGTTCCATTTAATAAGTAACAGTGTAATTAAATGTTTCGGAAAAAAAGGATATTTAAGTGCAAAGTCATGTAAATTATAAGGTACTTAAGCGCTAGTTAGCCTCTTTAAAATTGCTATTACATATCCAAAGTCTTATATCTCAAAAATACTGCTCTTGATGGGAAAGATTAATTTAAAAACAACCGTAAAAGATTATTAAAAAAAAGTCCAAAGGTTTTTGTTGAGCTTAGCTTTCTATGGAAAATGATATATAGATGGGATTAAATGGCACTTAAATATCCTATTGTTCACCATCTTCACATTTAAATATTCTAAGTTGTAAAAAATAATATTTTGAAACCAATAGTTGTTAAAAAAATAGCACTTCAATCTTCTAAGTTATAAAAAAAAACTAGCACTTAAAACTCTATTATTCACCACCTCTACAACTAAGTATTCTTAATTGTAAAAGTAATATCTTAATATCCTAAGTTGTAAAAAAATAATATTTTAATACCCTAGGTTGTAAGAAAGCGACACTTTTGTACCATTTGTTAGTTATCAAGATATATTCCTAGGAATATTTCTACGATAACTACTAAAATGTACTAATATACTACTTTTTTATAGCTTAGAATGTTAAAATGCTATTTATTTTACAATTTAATACAGTGATACAATAGTGTACTTAGGCCCCATCTAAGGTAGAGATGAAAATAGGTCGTGACCGAATGTGTACGCTTAAAATAGAACTCTAGTACAAATAAGTACAAGTTACCGAAAACCGAGGTGCTACAGTTACATTCTAAACCACACCCCTAACCATACTCCTTTCTCGCTAGAGTGTACTGGGGGCCCACATGAGAATTTTTCTGGGGCCCGCATGAGAATTTTTTTTAAAATTCTCATGCGGGCCTAGTGCACTGTAGCCAAGAGGAACGTGGTTAGAAGTGTGGTTTTACCGAAAACAAGTGCGTAACACTGAGTTTACCTCGAGGGCCCCGCTGCATCAACTGGTCTTTGAAGACCGATGTAGGGACCGGCCTAAGACCATCTCCAACCCATTGCACCAAAATGGTGCAAATTTTGCATCAAAATGGTGCAAAAGTCACATCAAACAGTAATACATCTCCAATCCATTACACCATTTTTTGCACCATTTTCAATCCATTACATCAAACAATAATACATCTCTAATCCATTACACCCATTCTCAGAATATTCTCAGTTTATTTCTTTTTATCTATTTTTATATTAATTAAGAGGTAAAAATAAATATTTAAATTTTTTTAAAAAAATAAACAGTAATGGGGCGGATGAACAGTGCAACACCATATTTGGTGCAGCACTGTTCAACTGCACCAAAATGGTGCAGAAAATGGGGCTGGGTTGGAGAATGAACAGTGCAACAAAAAGCACTATTTAAACCATTTTGGTGCTGGGTTGGAGATGACCTTACTGCTCCGGTGGGTCCCACATCCGGTGCTGACGTGTCGTGATTAAACACCCTCCCACCCGCCTCAGGGGCCTGCTCTGAAGTGCGGTTAGTTGGGAGGTGGGCGCGGAGCAGGTTAGCTTTGAATACCCGAATCCCACGCGAGTCTCCATGTCCCTCCCTAACCCCTCCCTCCGTCTCAAAATTTTTTTAGGGCTAGGGTTTCCTCTTCTCTCTTCTTCGGGTTAGGGGGTTTTTGAGAATGGGGAGGGACGAGGTTCTCCGATTTTGCCTCGTAACCCTAGGGGCTTTGATGCTGCTGGTCGGGATCGCGACCTTCTCCTTCAAGAAAGTGACGGCCACCTACATCTTTGGAATTCTGGGGATCTCGGGGATCTTGTTGCCGGATTGGGAGTTTTTCGATAGGGATTTCAAAGAGTGGTTCTCTCCGATGCCGCTCCGCAGGGCGCCCAACAGCGATCGAGTCCCTCAAATTGGAAGGTACGGTC